AGGGGGAGTGGCTGGCTTGCTGCACTGCCCAGAATGTCACACCGTGCCCCATCCGCATCAGGCCATCTGTTATCCCCCATTGACGAGCCAGAGTGCGTAGCAGACTCCGTGTGCCGGCACGCGCTGCGGGCAGGGGACTATAAAGCACTGTTCTCCGAAGGCTGCATCAAGGTAGAGGCAGCCTGCAAAAGCCTGACTGACATCAAAGATAAGGCAGGTCCCCAACGCTGTCAGCAAGAGGGGGAGTGACGGTGCCAGTAGGCCATCTGTTATCCCCCATTGACGAGCCAGAGTGCGTAGCAGACTCCGTGTGCCGGCACGCGCTGCGGGCAGGGGACTATAAAGCACTGTTCTCCGAAGGCTGCATCAAGGTAGAGGCAGCCTGCAAAAGCCTGACTGACATCAAAGATAAGGCAGGTCCCCAACGCTGTCAGCAAGAGGGGGAGTGACGGTGCCAGTGCCAGAGCTCCGGGAGGGAGAGCACCTGGGGGGGCCAGGGCTGGGGGAGCAGGGCTGCGCTGCACGAAGGGCTCGGCAGGTCAGGCGAACCGCAGGGTCCTGCTGCGCTTGTGCAGGAAGGTCTGGCTGAAGAGGCATCCTGGAAGCGGAGTGCAGGGGATGGTGCTCAGGTCTGTGCTGCCTCAGGACGGAGCTCTGGCTCTCCATGGTTAATGTGCAGCGTGCTGTGAGACTGGCGCAGGGCCTCCAGCAAGTACAGATGTGCGGGAATTGCCCACACCAGAGGACCTGCTGCTGCCTGGATTTCTGTTGACGGATGGAGAACAAGCTCTCCTGAGGCATTCCAAGCTCTCCTTCCTCTTCCATTTACCTGCCCAAATCCTCTCCCAATTCAGAGAATGACCGCTTGAACTACAACCATGTGTTCCTGGAGAAATGAAAGACAGCATGTGGGCAGCAAAGCAGGAGGCATCCTGTTCCCAAAGGGAAGAAAGAGATTAAATTAATCTATTTTACTTGAACAACATTTAAAAAGGAAGGAATTCTCAACTCTGAGTATTAGACAAGGATCCCAGTTCTATGAAAATCACTAACAATTATGGAGCTGCCTGATCAGCGTGATATGAACAAGACATATCAAAGGAGACAGTTTCTATGCAAAATTTGAGATCAGAGGGAGAAAGAAACACGGTTTCACAACATGAAAGGAGGCGATTCCTGCAAATTAAAATACGCAGAAGTTAAAAGTAAAGAGAAGTGCTGTGAATGGCGTGGGCTGTGCTTCCAAGCTGCATGCTCAGAGAGGGGAGCTGGAGCCAAGAGCCTGTTCTGCTTACCAGGCTGATGTCTGTCTGCCTGCGACAATCTTGGAGCTTTCTGTAGCCTGGCCATCCCAGGGAGCGTAAGGGGCTCCTCTGTAGCAGCCTAGCCCTGGAGATGGCCCAGCTAACAGGACAGGGAGAGCTTTACACAGCATCTTCAAGTGGCACTGCCGCATGGTCCCCTGCAGTATAAATGCAGGGCTGGAGGGTACCCGCATGCTGCTGCTGCAAGTCCCCAGCTCCCTCGCGATTCTCCCTCGGCTTACCAGTGCTTTGCCCAGGAACAGGTAGCACAAAGGACAGGATGGACGTATCCTGTGAAAGCACAAACAAGCAAACCTGAGAAGTAGCTTTCTCCTCAACCCTCTGAGCTGCCTTGCTCCTCCGCTGTGGCCCTGGTGTGGACACGGGGGGAGCTGGGGCTTGTCATGGACCTGGTGTGTGAAGTTCAGCTCTAGCTGCTGTAGGAAGGGCTGAGGATGCAGGACATGGGATGCTGCCTGGGCCAGGGAGGTAAAGTTTAGGACTTTCGTATGGGAAATACCCTGCCAGGCCCTGTTTGTGTGGGAGCACTCCTTTTGTGGCATCAAAGCCTGGTGCAGCTGTGACCATGGCTTTTTCTGTGGTTGTTATTGGTAGTAATGTTTGCTGTCTCTGAGCTGGACAGATAATCTCCCCTAGACCTCAGGGGTATTTTCATAAGAGCGAGTGGGGAGCATGCCTTGTTTCCTTCCTGAATGTGGATGGAGGTGGTTGTCTGTACTGGCCAAGCAGGGGTAGGAAGGCTGGGCAGCTTGGGGAGAGCTTGGATTGCCTATTAATACATCAAGATCAAGGTCAAATCCTGGGGACCTGCTGGCGGACATGCCTGGTCCAGGCTCCATTTGGGTGCAGATGTTCTCCTGGATCACCAGTGTTACTGGTTCAGCTGTGCTCTCCCCTTCTGGGGAAGGGGCTGGGATGGGGCCACCCCAGAGGGCAGGGCTACTCTCCAGCTTGGAGCTTGTTTGTAGGGAGCATTCAGTCCCTGTCTCTGCTGCTCCAACAGCCTTTGCTCTGTGGCCCAGCTTGAAAAGTGAAGGGTGACTTTGCTTTTCCTCCTCTCATGCTCCTGCCTTCCCAGACCTTGCTGGGGTTTATGCCTGAGGCTGCCCAAGTGGGTGGTTTTTCTTCTCACTTATGGCAGCTATCAGCCATAGCTCCCCATTCCCTGCCAAAAGCATAGTCCCAGATCCCAGAGGTGGGTATCTTCTTGGGGCATAAAGAGGAATAAAACAAATATGGTCAGGTCTGCTCTGTGAGAGCAGGAACAGATCAAAGGACATTATTTGCATAATGAAGGAGTACTAATTGGGAGGGAAAGTAATTTGGTTTCCTAGTGTCTAAGAGGGAATAACAAATGAGAGAACTGCACAAACTCTCACAGAGTAGCTGGGAGTGCTTTGCAACACACCTGCCCCTTGCTCTGCGCTGGGGCCAAGGCAGTGCATTTTGGTAGTGACAGCATACATGCTGTTTGAGACTGTAAGACTAAGTCAGGTTGGACTAAAGGCCTCTTTGTTCAAGGATCTTCTCCTGACAGTGGCCAAAGTGGATGCTTACAGAGGAGGAACAGCACACACAGTATGTGTGATGCTCCTCTTAGTATTTTCGCAGCCAGCAAGCAGTTTCAGCTTCGGGATTTCTTCAGCTGTGGGTAGTTTCCATGGGTTCAGTCAACTTCAGTGTCTGTCTTCCATGAACTCATCCAGACTCACTGTAAACCTCTGCAAAGAGAAAGGAAAAGGGGTTGCTGTTGCTATCTGATGGATCAAAAATGGCAGATGCGAGATGGTCAGGAAGGTGAGGCCGGAGTCTGAGATTTCTAAGGGGCAGAGGTGGTGCTTGGAGCTAACCCCAGCCCATGGAGACAGGCTGAGCATGTGCTATGCCCGTGGAGAAGTCAGTGTTTTCTACACACAGAGCACACATCTGAGGTGGCACTGAGCTCCTGCACTTGGAGGAAGCGCATCCAAAATGGAAGCTGATCCAACAGTTTTATCAGGGCTCCCTTGGCATGGCAGGACCAGCTGCAAGAGCAGGCTTCAAATGACTTATTTCTAGAAACCTCATCTGGTCTGGGGCTGCTGGGGCATCAGAAGAAATAGCGCAGCTGCCAAGGACTGTTTTGCAGACAGCAGGGCACAGAGCCATTGAATGCCGCTGCCGGGGTGCAGAGGAAGCAGGTTTGACCTGGTGCTCTATGAGGCTGGCAGGGAAGATAGCTGGAGCTGCAGTGGGGCAGAGGGCTCTCTCTGCTCAGCCCCCCGGAGGGAGCAGGGCCTTGTCCTGCCCCAGGGCTGGCAGCAGCTGCCGGAGGCAATGCACTGGGTCCACCTGGCCAGAGGAAGGCAGGGGCTGGTGGTGCTGCCTGGGAGCGTTTTTGCTAACTCCCCCTGTGCCCACTGCCAACTCAGGACAGCCAGCTTTCTGTCTTTCTGCAGGATGGGGCCTGAGCTGCCAACCCTGTTGCAGCCCCACTGCTGTCCTATCACGTCAAAAGAAACTGTGGGCTAAGAGTTTGCAGGCTGCTCTGTGCTGGCACCTGAGGCTCAGTCTCTGCGTGCGTACCCCAGTGCAGATCACTCCAAAATGCCTGAGTTGAGC